TGTAGGGGTCCACAGGTGAGAACGTGGTTGTAGGGGTCCACAGGTGAGAACGTGGTTGTAGGGGTCCACAGGTGAGAACGTGGTTGTAGGGGTCCACAGGTGAGAACGTGACTGTAGGGGTCCACAGGTGAGAACGTGACTGTAGGGGTCCACAGGTGAGAACGTGACTGTAGGGGTCCACAGGTGAGAACTGCAGGGGTGGGTGTAGGGGTCCACAGGTGAGAACGTGGTCCACAGGTGAGAACGTGTAGACTGTAGGGGTCCACAGGTGAGAACGTGACTGTAGGGGTCCACAGGTGAGAACGTGTAGGGGTCCACAGGTGAGAACGTGACTGTAGGGGTCCCACAGGTGAGAACGTGACTGTAGGGGTCCACAGGTGAGAACGTGACTGTAGGGGTCCACAGGTGAGAACGTGACTGCAGGGGTCCACAGGTGAGAACGTGACTGCAGGGGTCCACAGGTGAGAACGTGACTGCAGGGGTCCACAGGCGAGAACGTGACTGCAGGGGTCCACAGGCGAGAACGTGACTGCAGGGGTCCACAGGCGAGAACGTGGGTGTAGGGGTCCACAGGTGAGAACGAGAACGTGACTGAGGGGTCCACAGGTGGGTGTAGGGGTCCACAGGTGAGAACGTGACTGCAGGGGTCCACAGGTGAGAACGTGACTGCAGGGGTCCACAGGTGAGAACGTGACTGCAGGGGTCCACAGGTGAGAACGTGACTGCGGGGGTCCACAGGTGAGAACGTGACTGCAGGGGTCCACAGGTGAGAACTTGGAACTTGTAGGGGTCCACAGGTGAGGGGAACCAAAGGTGAGTGTGTGTGTGTGTGTGTGTGTGTGTGTGTGTGTGTGTGGCTGTGTGTAGGGGTCCACAGGTGAGAACGTGGGTGTAGGGGTCCACAGGTGAGAACCCAGTTATCAAGGGGTCCAGGAGCTGTTGCTATCCTTGTGAACAGCCATACCAGCCAATGACATCATTTGAAGTCATGTACTCATGCCTAATAGGGCCTGGTGAAGTCAATTTCCGGCTTGTCTGGTTAAGGGGTGAATGGGGGGGAACCTATTTGGATGACCCATTAGCTCTTGTAATGGTGAAGAGTGGTTAAGAACACATTGAAATGATACCTTAATGTTATCCTGTTTATGTTTAAACAAAAACCTAATTTCATATATACCTGAGGAAGCAATTCAAGTAGTTCTGCCTTGTATAACTAGTATACCAATCTCTTATCCTTCAATAACTATCGGGACACCTGACAGCTGGGTGGACAGCGTTTCGGATTCGTAGTCCTGAGGTCCTGGGTTCGATCCCCGGTGGAGGCGGAGACAAATGGGCAAAATGTTTCTGTCACCCTGATGCCCCTGTTACCTAGCAGTAAATAGGTACCTGGGAGTTAGACAGTTGCTACGGGCTACTTCCTAGGGAAGGGGAGGGGGGTGTAACAAAAAGGAAGCCTGGTCTAGGACCGGGCCGCGGGGACGCTAAGCCCCGAAATCATCTCAAGATAACTTTAAGATGATGAATATTCCAACAACCATTAACCAGCAATTCCTTCTGGCTTAACAAGGCTTCTAGACTGTGGCTTACCTGCTCGTCCACGTGGAGACTTAAATCACGTTTCAAACCTGTTTAAAACACGTTGTTCTTACCTTACAGGGAACCAGCAGCAGTAGCAGCCTCGCTGTGATTGGATATTCGCGCACAGCGTTTCGCTAATCGTTACAGAACACCGTTAATCAAATATAATTTCAATTATAGGTAGCGTGATTAAGAAACAGTGGAGGGTTATCTTGAGGTTATCTTGAGATGATTTCGAGGCTTTTTTTTTAGTGTCCCCGCGGCCCGGTCCTCGACCAGGCCTCCACCCCCAGGAAGCAGCCCGTGACAGCTGACTAACACCCAGGTACCTATTTTACTGCTAGGTAACAGGGGCATAGGGTGAAAGAAACTCTGCCCAATGTTTCTCGCCGGCGCCTGGGATCGAACCCAGGACCACAGGATCACAAATCCAGCGAGCTGGGCCGGGGGTAGGATAACTTTTGTTCCAGGGAATGATGGGATATAATTAATATATAACTAATGTACATAGATTTAATTAAAGGTAAATATAATAAAAAAATATATAAGTAAAGAGAGCAAAGGAAGATTACTTCTCAATACACAAGTGTGATTTATTAAAAGACAAGTCTGTGCTCGTGTCATCCTGTATCACTATAATTATTACGCCATTAGGGAATTATTTGATGATTAGGGAACACAGGACACTGTTCTATGTTCTCCCCCTTTTTTTCATACCCTGAACCCCTTAGATAATTAACCAAGAGTCTTATACCTGCAGGTCCCCCCCCCCTTTAACTATGGGAAATACAACGCCCCCTTAAGTCTAACAGCCGGATTGCCCCATTAGAATATTGTTCCTAAGGGGTGTACTACACTCTCCCATTTCTGGCCAGATGGAATAGGTATAGATGGGTGTGGAATAGTGGGTGTGTAGTGA